TTTGAGACAGAGTCTCTTCAGGCGCCAGGCTGGGGTGCAGTGGCACAATCTCGGCTCACTGCAACCTCTGCCTCCTGTGCTCAAGCAATTCTCCTGCCTCATCCTCCGGAGTAGCTGGGACTACAGGCGCGCGCCACCACACCCAGCTAATTTTTGTATTTTTAGTGGAGACGGGGTTTCACCATGTTGGCCAGGATGGTCTGGATCTCTTGACCTCGTGATCCACCCACTCCGGTCTCCTAAAGTGCTGGGATTACAGGCATGAGCCACCGGTACTGGCTAATTTTTGTATTTTTGATAGAGATGGGGCTTCACCATGCTGGCCAGGCTAGTCTTCAACTCCTGGCCTCAAGTGATCTGCCTTCCTAGGCCTCCCAAAGTGCTGGGGTTACAGGTGTGAGCCACTGCGCCCGGCCTCAGGCTTTTACCATTTACAACAAATGTATGTATGTTGAGTAACATCAGAAGAGGTGGATGGCCAAGTGCGTTGGCTGTAATCCCAGTATTTTGGGAGGCAGAGGCAGGAGGATCCCCTGAGCCCAGGAATTCAAGATCAGCCTAGGCAACATAGGGAGAACGCTGTTCTCTACAAAAAATAGAAAAAATTAGCCGGGTGTGGTGGCATGTGCCTGTAGTCCCAGCTACTAAGGAGGCTGAGGCTAGAGGATCACCTGAGCCTGGGGAGGTCGAGGTGGCAGCGAGCCGTGATCCTGCCACTGCACTCCAGCCTGGACAACACAGAGAGAGCCTGTCTCCAAAAAAAGGGATTGGGGTGAGGGTAGGGGTGGGGGTGAGGGTGGCGGTGGGAGTGGGGGTAGGAGTGGAAGTGATCTTTTCATTGGCTCACTGCATGTGAGTGACCCTACAGCCTAGAAATACCAGAGAGGCTCATTGGAACGGGCTGGAAATCCACCCAGTTGACCAAAGGGCTTTGAAACTTTTATTGATTTGGAGGCTGACTCTCCTCTGAACTCAATTCCCTTTTGGCCGTTTGGCAGGGTCAACGAGACATTCCCTGGGTCGTTCCACGCGGCAGGAATTCAGGGAGCTCTCTACGTCTTCGTTTCCCCTCTCCCCCGCACAGTGCTGTTATCCAGCGGGGGGACCCAACGCACACTTAAGGCTCCAGCAAAGTCGGTGCCAAAAAGGGGAGAATGGGAAGAATATGCTCTATCTCACAAAAAGCATCCAAGTAGTCGTCTGGAAAAGCCAGAACTTCAATGGTGCATCCAGGCGGGCTGGGGATGGGAGAGGAACGCTTTCCTCCAGCCCTTAGGGCCGGCCCTGAGCAAGTGGTCAGTCGGGAGGTGGCTGCCGAAAGGGGCTCCCCCGAGTCGGTGGTGGCCCGAAAATTAGGCCGCATCCACCGCCCGGCGCCTAGCGCAGGGGCAGCAGCCGGGTCGCGAGGGGGTGCTCCGGGTGTTCCCGCTGGCTTGGGGAACTTTCCTAGGATCGGCCTGGCGGCGCCCTGCAATCCCCGCATTTGGCTAAACAAAGCGAGCGCTGCCGGAGCGGCCCGCTCGAGGGCGCCGCGGGAAGAACCTGGGCAGGTGCGCGCCGCTGGCGAGCGAGGACAAAGTTACGGCGCCCCCTCCCGCACTCTGCGCCCCGCCAGGCTCTCCCCGCCGCCGCCTCGGATCCTCGCGGCCGGGCCTCCCTTCCCCCGCTCTTCGCCTCCTCCTTTCTTCTCCCTGCCCGCCGCCTCGCCACTACTTTAGTCTTCGCAGGCTCTCGCCACCCCACTCCTCCCCGTCACGGGGTCGAGCGGGCGAGGGCGCGCAGGGGGCGGTGCGCGGCGGGCGCGGGCGGTTCCGCGCTCGGGTTTCCCGCGGCCGTGGCCAATCCCCGCGCTGCCCGGGGCGGCGTCGCGCCCCAGCGGAGCCGGGCGGCTCCTCCTGCCCCCGCCCCCCGCGCGCCCGCCACCCGGGGAGAGGAGAGGAGCGCGCGGCCGCGCAGAGCAAGCTGAGTTGAGTCGAGCCGAGCCGAGCCGGGGGCGCAGAGCGCGAGAGGCAGCGGCGGCGCGGAGCCCAGGTGAGCTGGCGGTAGTCGGGCCCAGGGCTGGGGACGCAGCCGCCGCGGCGCCGGGCGCCGGCTCCTTTTCCCTCTCAAGGCGGGGGACCGCCTTCTGCATGACACACAAAGCCCCGAAGCTGGCCTGGGGCTCCTAACGCCGAGGGACCCCACGTGCGCCACCCCACGCCCCGCCACGTGGAGGGACACGGTCCCCGACACCCCTTCCCCCGCGTCCTCAGGGCGCTCTGGGCCTCGGGATGGCCTCCTCAGCTGGGCCGCGCCCTGTCCGGGTGGCAGGGGCGGTCCTGGAGTTTGGAACCGCTGCCACTGGGGGCCGGGGCCGTCAGGGTTCGTGGAGGCGGCCGAGGCCCATCCCCTCGCGTTTGACAGGTGGGGAAACCTGGAGCGCTCCCGGGAAGAGAGGACCAGCGGACTTCGGGCACCCCCACGCCGCAGCCTGCCTATCTCGGGGCAAACCCAGGCCCTAGTGGCTTGGACACCAGGAGGCAGGACCCTAGGCCAGCAGTTGCGGGGACCTAGGGGACCTTTGGCTGTCTTCGGTCTGCCCTTTAACCACCCCCACCGCACCTCCTTTCTCAGCCGGAGCCTCACAGGCTTGGTCCTTCTGACCTAAATTCACCTCGGGGCTGCAGTATGCTGTGAATGCAGAGAGGTGTCCGCCTGACTCTCAGGGACGCTGGACCCAGCCCCTCTCAGCATTGGGGCTCGGTGCCTGGGGTGCCACCCCACCCAGCCTTGAGCTTTTCCTGGGTTTCCCCCAGCCCCTGCACTGCCCAGTTGAGGAAGTGGGGTGCTTCCACAGCTCTGCCAGCCGGCCCCCCGGCCGCTCTCACTTGGTGCCCCTCCTATCTCCCTCAGAAGGTTGAGGGGGAGGGATGGAGCTTTGGGGAGGGCATCTCAGTGCCATCAGCAAGAGAGGGGTACCTGGCCTCCACATGGGACCTGCAGTGTCCATCTTCCTAAAGGCAACTTTTACCTTCCCCAGCCTGGTGTTGGGAGTCCCCACGCAGGGGACAGAAACTTCAGGTGCCCTAGAGCTGTGCTGCCGTTAACCACTCCCCTCCCCTAGCTCTGCCTCCAGAGGAGAGAGAAGAGGATGGCTTTATGTCCCCATAAGCTCCTTTGTTCCTTGGAGGAGGCGGGGGCTGCAGTAAGGGGAGGGCTTTGGGGGAGTCAGCCGCCCTCTTCCCTAATCACCCCACAAAAACGTGCAGTTTCAGAATAAATAGTGTGCAGGACACGCAAATGCAGCTTTAGGGTGAGCCCCAGATCCCCTTCCAGACTGCGGCTCGTATACCGTTCCTGTGGAGGAAGCAGGCATTGTGATGAGGACGCGAAACACATTTTTGTAATGAAGAGTAACAACCATAATTTGATGAGCCCCTAACTTGGATAATAATAACACTTACTTGTTTTTTTATTTATTGAGAGTGAGTCTCGCTCTGTTGCCCAGGCTGGAGTGTAGCGGCATGATCTCGGCTCCCGGGTTCAAGCGATTCTCATGCCTCAGACTTCCCAGTAGCTGGGACTACAGGCACCCGCCGCCACGCCTGGCTAATTTTTGTATTTTTAGTAGAGACAGGGTTTCTCCACGTTGGCCAGGCTGGTTTTGAACTTCTGACCTCAAGCGATCCACTTACCTCAGCCTCCCAAAGTGCTGGGATTATAGGCATGAGCCACCTGCCAGCCCTAGACAATAATAATAACAATGTTAACAACTAACATCTATTGAGTTCTTGCTGTGTGCCAGATTCTGTACTGTTTTGCGTGCATTATCTCATTTAATGCCTACCAAATCCTACAAAGCAGGGAATTTTAGCCCTATTGTAGAGATTAGGAGATTGAGGTTTAGAGAAATCCTGCAGTGTTGCTAGGATTTAGCCCCATTTTATGGAAGGGCTCAGAGAAGTTGAGCAACTTGCCCAGGGTCACACAGCCAATGCAGGCATGTCAGGCCTTAGAACCTTTGTGCTTTGCCACCTGTTCTAGAGCAGAGGCCCTTGCAAGGCTGCCCTCAGCTACTTGAGGAGCCCAGGTGCTTGTTTGGTTTTCTCACTAAATCACTGTTTGCCGATGCAGCTCTATGCAGGGTCTGTAGTACTGCCCGTCCTGAGACTTGCCTAGTGGGCTGGCAAATATAGTCACTAATAACCACGCACTAGTTCTCATGGGGGTGGCCCCACCCTCCTGACAAGGATTTGGAAAAGTGTGTTTGGTTGTCAAAATGATGCTAAGTCCGTCACTGTGAATGCATAAACTCTTCAAAAAAAAATGATGCTAAGCACTCTTGGCTTTTAGCGGGCAGGACCCAGGGATGCCCGCTAAAGTGTCCAGGGCCACGACATAAAGCATCACCCTGCTCAAATGCCAGAAGCGCCACTGCTGAAGAAAAACATAAGAAATGAGTCCTGTTGCAATGGTAGGAGCAGAGGGCATTGAGGGTTCTGGAGAAATCTCAGGCTGGTGTGAATCTGGAGGCCCCCTGAAGGAGGTGTCATTTGTGCAGAGCCTTTAAGGATGGGCCAGAAATCAGAGATTGGGTGGGAGTAGGAGGGGAAGGGCATAGGGCGGAATGACCTAGCAGAGGGAACTTTGTACAGTAGAAGGGGGTTTCCTCTTTGAGAACCTCATCCTAGATGGAAGATGAGTGGCCAGACACCACTCTCAGGGGAAAGGACCGGGCCAAGTGGGGTAGGCCAAGCGTGTTTTGAAGGCATTTTGGCCCCAATTTTTTTTTTTTTTTTTTTTGAGACGGAGTTTCACTCTTGTTAACCAGGCTAGAGTGCAACGGCGCGATCTCGGCTCACTGCAACCTCCACCTCCTGGGTTCAAGCAATTTTTCTGCCTCAGCCTCCTGAGTAGCTGGGATTACAGGCATGCGCCACTATGCCCAGCTAATTTTTTGTATTTTTAGTAGAGACGGGGTTTCACTATGTTGACCAGGATGGTCTCTATCTCTTGACCTCGTGATCCACCCGCCTCTGCCTCCCAAAGTGCTGGGATTATAGGCTGGCCCAAATTTTAACATGGGCCACAGAATCACCATTATTCTATCAACTCATTGTATGGAAGGGCTCAGAGAGGCTGAGTAATTTGCAGAGGGTCACCTGTGACCTTCCCTCCTCAGCATGCTTTCTTCTTGTTGTTATGGCAAACGTTTCATTTCCTGATCCTGGGGATTTGGGGCAAATGATATTTCAGATTTTCCTTTAAATCAGAGCATCTTATATTGCTTTTTGTTTGTTTTGTTTTTTTGAGATGGATTTTCGCTCTTGTGTCCCAAGCTGGAGTACAATGGCACGATCTTGGCTCACTGCAACCTCCACCTCCCAGGTTCAAGCGATTCTTCTGCCTCAGCCTCCAGAGCAGCTGGCGTTACAGGCGCATGCTACCACGCCTGGCTAATTTTTTGTATTTTTAGTAGACACACGGTTTCACCATGTTGGCCAGGCTGGTCTCGAACTCCTGACCTCAGGTGATCCTCCTGCCTCGGCCTC